ACCCACCTCCCAAGGATGGAAGGCTGAGTCAACCTTGAGCCGGTGAGATCTGAACCGCTGAACTGCAGATAGCAGTCAGCTGAAGTGGCCTGCAGTACTGCACTCTAACCACTGTGCCACCTTGGCTCTTTAGTCTCCAGTTCCCTAATCATCTTTGTTGCTCTTCTCTGCACTCTTTCTAGAGTCTCCACATTTTTTCTACATCGTAGAAAAATACTGAATGCAGTATTCCAAGTGTGGCCTTACCAAGGCATTATAAAGTGGTATTAACACTTCACGTGATCTTGATTCTATCCCTCTGTTTATGTAGCCAAATCTTATAGTCAAGGTTTGGAATGCGTATATGTAATCACTTTCTCCTGTTTGTTTTCAATAGTTTCAGACAGAGGAAAAAGAAGTGGAGAATTTTTAGTTTCTAACAAGACTAACCAATATTATCTAAAACAAAAGAGGGGAAACTATTAACAGTACTTGTTGCCTGGAAGCCTTTGAATATACTGGGTTTTGTGGCTTTTCAGCAGATTATTAAATGCATAACTTGCAGAAATTTCATTGTTACAATAGCTCTTAAATGAGGCACTGGAAATACTGGGGATCTGCTGGCCTTTATAGAAGATACCCGAAATAATTTTCAAGTTGTCCTTTTTCTTGTAATGTGAGAGTCTACTCTAGATATGCAGATTTTGGAGACACTACTAAAATCGCAAACAGACAGCTAATGTGCATTTTTAAATCAACAGATAAAACTACCATTATTTGGATAACAAATATCCAGATGACCACTTGGTTTCGCCAAATAGAATTTTGTCTTTGTTGTCATCTCCTACTAATCTGAAAGTGGCTAAATTGCTGTTTTATAAACTAAGAGGCAGTGAATTCTAGGCCTCCCTTTGACATGAAAACCAACTGGGTAACTGTAGGTCAGTCACTCTCTCTTAGACCAATCTACCACACAGGATTGTTGTAGTGATATTAAGAGGTAGGAAGTCTATTTGCCACCTTAAGTTATGTAAAAGAAAAGATAGACTAAAAATCTAATAATAATCATCATCATCTGGATTTTGGCAGTCAGATGATAATTCTACCACAGAAGCTAAAGTTTCAAGATCGCCTAAATCAGGGGTCAGTAACCCCGTGGCTCTGGAGCCGCATGTGGCTCTTTCATCCCTTTGCTGCAGCTTCCTGTCACCAGTCGGCTCCACAATTGATAGGGCTTTCAGTTAGGACAGGCAGAGAAAAAAGGATGCCACACTAGGAGGAGACTCTATGGTGGGGGAACTGGATTTCCGGTCAGCTCCAGAATTGAACAGGAGGCTTCCATTTAGGGCTTTTGTAGATCTTTTGAATGTTTAAGGTTGCCAACCCTGGCCTAACTCAAAAGACACCCCAGTTGTAGAATCTGAAAAAGTATTTTAATATTGTAAGCCTCCCAGAGTTTACCATGTGGTAAGATGGGTGGCCCATAAATTTAATAAATAAATAAAAATTTAAATGACAATAAAAGTCACACAAAATATTCTCGGCATTTCTACCAGACTCTTTCTGCTGAGAGAGTTAAACATGCTTGTGACTGTGACTGATAAAAAGTGTTTTCCTGCATAAGCCTATTTCTCAACAAACTGGAAAATATGTTTCTACTGCACATTTGAATTAAACAGTCACATTTCTGAAGGATATTATCAGCATTTAAAATGAAGCTTCCCATAACCCATATTAACCATACCAACAAATTCTGAACAGATGTCTACAGGCTGCTTTAAGATTAACAAGAGAAATAAGTTGAAACATAGGAAGAACGAAGTAGCGATAAGACACCAAGGCTGGAAATCAATGGCCCTGAACAGAGATATATAATCAGTTTTACACGAAATTAGACTTCTGAAGTCTAAAACCATTATTGCAGGTGGAGAGCTTAAATGATGGATTTAATTCCTTTAAAGGAGATACAAATTTTATTAATAATCCACAGGGCCTCTTATCACATTGGCTAGTGTGCCAATATGCACATATTGGGAGAAATGAGACCTTACTCTAATTAAAGTACACTTGTTTTTAATTATATCCAGGATACAAAATGGGAAAATGAAAATGTCAGTGTGCTAATCTATAGTACTTAATGACCTCAAAATGTTTCCAATTATAACTCTCATTAGCTGAGTCTTGCAGGGCAAACGATCAAAGATTCTGGGATTTATGGGAAACTGGTTCTAAAACTTTTTACTGTTAACTATAGCACTGCGAGTTAAAAACTTTACATTTATTCTATACCAAGAATTGGTTCACCTGAAATGTTAACACCATGATTTACTTTACATCATGAGCAGCAGTCTGCAAATTCTATGTGACTGACAAAATCCTTTTTGTATACTTCCTGGATCTCCCAAAATTATATTGCTAAATTTCAAGGGCAAAGTGCCAAGAAACAGTTTCCTGCTGTTTCACATCTAAAACAAGACAAAAATATACTATAAGCTTGCTTGTAGGCTTAATACACCAATATCCAATTAATAAATGGAAATAAACATAGTTTTGCTATTATCTACTAGTTATCCAGATTACTACAGCTCAGATATGCTAATCATAGCTCAGATAAGGAAGGTCTGCTCTCTGCTTTTCTCCTTGGGTTGGTTGGTGAGGATATTAAAAATGTCTAATAAAGATTAATCACAGCTTATCTCAAACTTCTGCTGATTGCAATGGTAGGATAAATGATAGAAAGTTGCCTTGTTTCCAAAAAATTCAAATTTATCATTTTTTCCTAATCAAAACTGGTAAATTGCCATTAATTAAAATGGACCTCCTAAAAATAATTTCCAAATCTTTCTTAACAGTTGTCCTGAAATGCCTTTAACTCCACTAGGATCTTTTCTGGTACTAGTAATACCAAAAACGTGAAGAAAATGGCAACATAATATTTATATTTATTTATTCTTCCCCACCCCAAAAAGTGTATGCTTAGACATGGCAGAGAAAGCCACATCATTTTAAAAAATGTAACAACTTACCCATAAAACGTGAGGCGAAGGAAACCAATGCGTTGTCCGAGCTTCAGAATTTCTCCCTGTTTGATAGCAGCTCCTGTTAGAAGCACAATTCCCACCTTTTTAAGGGTAACCAACCACTTGTATGCACTTTCATCACTGTGCAGTACCTCTTCAAAGTCCATAGTAGGGAGCTCAAGATCAGAACCCCAATACTGGCGCTCTGCAAAAGAAATATATAAATCAATTACTATGAATTATTTTATTATAAAGAATTCCATTTTATTCTATACTGATCAGACTGGAACTTGGGTTTTGTGTTCAGTTTTCGGTATCATACTATAAATGCAGACAGACTGGTTCCGAGAAGATCAAGGGGGAAGAATCAGTGAGCTAGTCATGTGAAGGGAGATTGAAGTAATTGTTAGTATGTACACTTGCCCAGGGGAGAATGAGTGAAGAAGGACTTCTAAATTATAAAACGCTGTTAGAAAGGTTTAAAACATCTTTTTCATCTTTCCATAGAACAGTAGGCAAAATAATAGATTCCAGTTATAGGAAAATAGATTATAGGTCATTTTTTTTTAAAAAAAGAAACAATTTGGCAATGGAAGGAATTACTCAGAGAACCAGGTTGTTATGTAGTAAGTTCTTTCATGGCGGATGAATAGCCACTAACCTGATGTGCATCCCTGAGACACAGAAACATAAAACACTGACAGTAGAAAAAGACATTGTGATCCATCAAGTCTTCCCTTTGAGTTTTTTTCTTCTTAATTTATGTATTTGTTATTTTTAATTATCTTTACTTTTCATTAATTTTTTTTAAAAAAAATGTCAGATGAGACCTGGGTAAGCTTCGAAGGAGATTGCCCTGCTCACAGCTATGCCCATCTGAGTTTTGAATCTAATACTAGCTGTGCTTCCAGAGAAAGAGGATGGAATGTTAGTTGTTATTAAGGAGGTCTCATGAACTTTTAGAGGTGCTGTTTTGCAGGTAATTGAAGGTGTGTTCTCTGGTTGAAGCTCTGTTGTAGGGAGCACTTGGAATTGTTGCTGATATATTAGCTTCCCTGCTGTGTGGTAACATTCCTGCTTGACCTGGTACATTTCATCCCCAGGTGGGTATGGAAACCCCAAGCCTTTTTGTTCTTAGGGACTTCAATCTCTCCCTAGGTGAGGTTGAATCTAGGTCAGCTCAGGAGGTGACATCTACCATGGAGCCAACTACATAATTGAGAGCTTGCCATAAGCCAGAGATCATACATTAAATCTGTTTTTATTTCAGGGCAATGTGCATTTGGCTCTTGAGGATGTTACAATTAATCTTTTGCCATGGTCAGATAACTCCTTAATTTGTTTTTTTTAGCCTACTGGAGCTACCTCCTCCAGAAGGAAAATAGGACCTATTAGATTGATCTACCACAGATTATAAACCCTGCTGGCTTCCAGAAGAAGCTTGGATTTTCCCACCCTAAGGATCTGATGAGCATTTTAGCTGAATATTTGATCACTGTCTGTAACAGGGGCCTTTGGCTGAATTGCTGCCCTGTGGCCTCTTATTGTTTGCTGATCCTGGAGAGGTGCCTAGCACTCTGTTGGAGGAAGATGAAGAACAAATTGGAGCACAAATAGGATCCCATATGAGCAATCACATAGTGGTAATAAGAGTAGCAATACATTATTTTTCTACTCTTATCATGTCCACAAATAGTCATCCAGATTCCCTCTTTTAAAATGATCCATACCCTGCTGGGAAAGAATGAATTACAGGACCATCTGCAGAGTCACTGTGAAGAATAGTGCCAAATAAAGTTATGGGGATTGACTTGGAGCTGAACTATGATTTTGTGAGTCCTGATGAATGATTGAAGCAAGGTCTTATGTGAGTAGCTGAGATGAGTTTGAGCCTTTAACTCTTGAGTTAACTCATCACGAGGTAAACAGGATCCTTGGATTGGCTAATATGACTACAAGTTTATCATAACCATGTCCCTCCTGATTGTTTAAGGCTGTCCCGAAGGTGACATGAGGAAGGGGTATTGAGTCCATTCAAGACGCTTTGCTGAAACAAAGTTGTACTGGATAATTTTCATCCCATTTCCAACTTTCCTTTTAGGGAAGGTTGAAAAGGTGATTAGGTTGTGATTAAAGAAAACCCTGGTAGAAACCGATTTATGTGAACTCCTTCCAGTCAGATTTCAGGCTTGGATATAGTACTGAGAAATTCAGGTTGGTCTTGTTAATAACTGTTTTTGATGGAGCCAGAATAGGAAGAGTGGATCAATAAATAATCTGATGTTTTCAACAACATTGGACATGGTATCCTCCTGATCTACCCACACAATTTAGGAATGGAGACACATCACAGTCTTTTACTTACTATCTCTATGGTTGGGTTCAGTTGATTTGATAGGAGGGAAGAAATCAAGTCCAAAGCCTCTAGTGTCTTCTGTTTAACATTTATCATTGTGCGAGGACGTTCATTGGTTTGTGGTCATATGTAATCAATATGTGGATGATACTTAAATGCACATCTTGATTCCAGACTATTTGGGAAATACTGGCGATAGTTGGAAGGAAGAGGTTCAAACACATCCTTGACAAAATCTAGTACTAATAATCCCCAGAGATGGGAATTATTCATCTTTAATACTGGACAGGGTTGCACTGTCCCCTTCATAACTGGTGCATAATTTGGGGGTCTACACGGACTCATAGTACTCAAGGTAGCAGTTTGGCTATGAAGGTTTTAATTTAAGTCCATCTTGTATGCCAATGATGTCGCTACCTGGACTAGGAGTCCTTTCAGATCAGCACTCAAACATTGTATTATGGCAATGTGCTCTAGTTGGAGGTACCCTTGAAAATGCAGTGGTGTAGGTAACTAGGGGCATGCCATATTGTACTCATCTAAAGCCTTTGCTTCATGAACTACACTGGTTTTTAGTAGACTCTGGGTGCAATTCAAGTATTGCTTATTACCAGTCAAGTTCTTCACAGCATTTATGAAGTTTCTGCTCAGATAATATAATCAGAAATAGTAGACATACTCCTGTCTTCTTCAAGAAATAGTAACCTAATTGGACATAAGAAATGTGCTTTCTCTGTCATAACACCTTCCCTCTTCAGTACCTCCCTCACTGAGTTTTATCTAGTGTGAACTCAGGTGTCCTGTCATGGGGGGAGGCTGCTGAGCGTAGGCGCCAGAAGGCAACGCCTGGGAATGCCACCGACTGAGACTCGCGGCCAGGTGCAGAACCACTTCAAGAGTCCCGGCAACATTTGCCACTTGCAGGAGCAGACCATCTACAGCCCCAGCGCCTTCCGCGCTACCCTGCCCACAGGGAGCCCTGGGAAATTTATGTGGTCTATTGACGAGCTGGCCCTGATTGACCTAGTGGAGATAAACTCAGAAGACATCCACCGCCAAGCCTTCTACCTCAGCCAGACCAGGATTGACAGTGTTTAAAACAGCCTTAAAAATCTGTGTCCCCTCCAAGCCTTGGATTACAGTGTTTGGCGGGTCCTGTGTATTTTTCCATTTGGAATGGTTGTTTTTTGCAGGCATTTGGAAATAGTCATTATAGAACTGGACTGCTTTAAAAATGTAATGGAAGATTAATAAAATAAATACAATAAGAATAGTAATTCTTTAGTAGCACTCAATTACAAATAATAAAGACTACTAAGGCAGGCTGAAAGCAGCTGAGTAACATTGCATAATTATTATGGAACAAGTCCCGTTCTGAATGTTAGTGATGAACAGACATAAAAAGAACTGGCATTGAACAAAATAGGTCTATATATTAACTGTGTAGAACTAGCTGATTTCAAAAGAGCAGCACCTCAACAGTGATAAATTATTTTAATGTGCGAAGAATCTAGTCCACATAAAAGAAACCATATGAATTGTGGTGGAACAGCCTCCCTACTAAAATTTAGAGGGACTCTATACTTTTGGCCTCTCAGAAAGCCATGAAGACCTGGTTCTTCACTCAGAAAGTAGGCCAGCATGTGAATTGAGACCATATGCAGCCAATGTGAGGTTGTTATGGTGCTTTGGATAGTGTGATGGGATTTAATTTGGGGGTGTTTCTGCTTGTATTGTTTAGTTTGTTTATATTAGTTTGGCGGTTGTTAGCTGCCCAGGATAGGTGGCCATATATTGCTTTTGAAATAAATCAATGACTCTTTTTAAAAAATGACTATTTCCCAAATACCTAGAAAAGTTGCAAGGTTTCTCATCAAGGCATACAAAGTTAAAAGAACTGAATTCCAAAAGCGAATCTCTCACAATGGAGTTGTAGCCTTTTGCAACTTCTCATGAAATGACACAGCTGGGAGAATTCTATCTGCCAAAAGGAAAAGCTTATCTCATTGCTAAAAATACAGAAAAAGGGCTAAATTTCAAAAGTAACATTTGGGAAATCTCTCAGGTTTTTAAACTGTGCGCATAATGTTGCAAATTGTAAATAATTACAAACTTTAGAACAAAATCTGAAAGACTCTAGCATTTTACCAAACAATCTAAAGTATTCCCTAACTCAACTAATGATTGCAATGGAAGAAGATGCCTTTTGTTCTTCTTTATACAGGGAATATCAAATCATCCTCATTTCGGAAATGTCTTGGTTCAGGCATGAATATTAGAAGTATCCTTTCAGGAACTTCTAGGTTTAGAAACACTCTTCCTGGAATATCACTTTGGGGCAGGGAGGGTTAAAAAAATGTGGGTCTGTTACTGTTTTCACGACTTTCCTCGGGCTGTTGGATAAACCAGATTATTTATCTGATGGAATAGTTGTGTGCTTTCCCAGGAACAATAAAATACCCAAGATTTACTTTTAGCAATGGCTGTCATAGTACTTTCCTATTGAAAAAGTAACTACTGCTGGATCATGAAAGACAAGAAACTACTGCAGCTATCTATAATAAAACGGCAGTTGCATAAAGCATGTCAAGATCCAGAGCCAGAAGAAACATATGCTACATCTGTGTGCTCGTGCAGTATGTGTACATATAGATCTTTAAAAAGGTGACGTGATTTCCTTGGAATTTTTCTCTTTTCCATTTTAGAAAGCACTCTATAATAATAGACAGCCAAGGGATTTAGCTAGGTACTCTTTGCCAGTTCCTTTTATTGCTAATCTGTCAGTTAGATTTTGACAAGAGAACATGTTTTGTGGGAATCCTTTGGGGGAGAGACGGATGCCAAAACAG